AAAAAAAAGTGCATATGCGCATATGAGACCACTTGAATCAGAATTTCAGACCTTTAATCTGACGTTGTATCAAGATTTAAGATAATAGGCGACGCTATATATGGTGAATGGTTAGTTAATAACCCAATAACTAGATACAATATTTTCCTCAGAAATATATTAACTAGATAACACTCAGAAAACAAAATATTTAGGAATCGGGACAGAAAATAATTATGCCATTTTGCTCCCTTTGGTCTTATTTATAAGGTTTGTGTTGTCTTTGGCGTGTGATTTGGGATAGGATCAAGGAGTTAGTGAAATCATCTCTCTTATATTATGGTTGATTATACCTATCTATAGGGATTTGGATTTGGTGGCTAACTAAAAGATCTTATACTTAACTGAAGTCCCCCATAAATAGGGGTGGAGACTTCATATCTCACACACCACTTCACATATTCAAATTGGCGACAGGTTCATGAGATTGATCGCAAGTTTGCGGATGAGTCTCGTTCGTCATAATTCCCTCAACCGCTAGGATCCTAGCCGGTCATCGCTAGTTGTCAATTGAAACACTTCGTCGCTAGTCGTAGATCGAAGCACTTCGTCGCTAGTCGTAGATTGAAGCACTGATCCAAGGTATATGTCTCCCCGCATCTTTTAATAGTTTGATCTCACATAGACCCTCTATACTACCTATGTTTTAACTTACTAGGCTGTACTTTCATTTTGGCAGATAGATCCCTTGTGATTTTTTGCCTCCTTTACCCTCAGATAGACTCATTAATTTCAACCAAGGGTAATATCTGTTAGCCAGCAGCCTCCAACAGCCATTGTTGAATTTTAATTAAGTGGCAGGACCCACTTATTTAATATTCTACCGAAAGTTGTTGCAACGTTTAAAAAATAAAAAGGTGGCGGGTCCTACCAATAAAATATTACAAGTGGCGGGTGCCACCAATAATATTTTATTTATGCATAGTATTTTTTAAACACTATAAATAGGGCCAAAACTCTTTAAGAAAAATCATCCCAGAAACAACTGCTCTTATAGAAGAGTAAGAGAGAAAATGTAGAGAGAGTTTGTGAGAAATCTTGGAGAGTATCTTGATCAAGAGAGGGTGTTCTCTTTGATCCTTTTCTTTTGGAGTATAAAGAAATTGGGCATCGTCGTTGCACCGTGGAGTAGCTCCGTAAGAGTGAATCACGTTATATTTGTGAGTACTGTGATTGAATTTGTGTATGTTTGGGTGTGTTTTTGCATCTTCGTTTGAGGCCTTCTTTTTAGTGTGTATCTCAATAAATGATATTAGAGCCCGACTTAGAGTATATATCTGCTTATCGTATGCTCTGTGCCTGCCACTAAAAGTGGATCTTCCACATCAGAAAATAAGTTAGATTATCATTTACTCTTTAAAAGCATTGGGTACTATTCACGAGTATGGTACTATTCATAAGTACTGTTATTATTCATAAATACTGTTTGAGAAAAGACGAAGTCTTTCGCCATATGATCTACAGTTGAAGACGATAGGCTTCGGATTGAGAAATTCGACGGCCAAAATTTTAGGTATTGGAGGATGTAGATAGAAGACTATTTGTACCAGAAGGATCTCTTCCTATCCCTCCAAGGAGTGGAGGGGAAACTTGAGAAGATGGACGATGATAAATGTAAGGTACTCAATCGTAAAGCACTTGCCACCATCAAGCTCAACCTTCGATCACCAGCATGTGACTTACAACGTCTCGCATGCGACTACCACCAAAGAGTTGATGGAGTCCTTAGAGACGTTGTAAGAGAAGCCGTCTGCTTCAAATAAGGTGTACCTGATGAAGAAGCTATTTAATCTAAAGATGAAGCAAGGAGCTCGCGTGGCGGAATTCTTGAACGAATTTCAGGCTGTGGTGCAACAACTTGCTGCAGTGGATCTCAAGTTCGACAATAAGATCCAAGATCTTCTGCTACTTTCTTGTCTACCAGATTTGTGGGAGAAATTGGTGATGGTGGTGAGCAACGCCAATGATAATGACAAGATGAATCTCGACACGGTGATTGGTGTAATTCTGGATAAAGAATCTCGCCGCAAAGTCTTAGGAACTGAGGCCTCTAGCAGTAGAAGTGCTATGCATGTCGAGGCACAAGGGCGTGAGCAGAAGAATGGTAGGGGCGACGAGACTGATCAAAGTCCAGAGGGAAGTCTAAAGGGCTGAACCCGAATGGTTACGGTGAATGAAAGTGTTTCAAATGTGAAAAAAAGTGTCACTTTGCACGGGACTACGGAGCTTCTGTTCCAACATCAGCAGTGGATGATCAGGCTGACGGTGCAGCAAATCTCATGCACGAGACGGATTCGGATGCACTTCTCCTATCTCTTAAAGACAAGAGCGATGTGCGGGTCATCGACTCTGATGCATCTTTCCATGCAACCTCACAACAAAAGCTGCTTTCATTGTTCATGAAGAAAGACTTAGGAACAATCTATCTTGGCGACGATCAACCTTGCAAAGTTTCTGGAAAGGAAAATTGTACCCTCAAGATGGAGGCGCGACCATCTTCACGTTGAACGACGTTCGGCATGTAACAGATCTCAGGCGAAATCTTCAGTCGGGCAACTGACTAACTCCGGTTACAGAATATCCTTCGAGCAGGGGAAGCTGGAAGGTGTCCAAGGGTGCTCTGGTGGTGACACATGACAAACGTGAGGGGTTTCTCTACATCGCCAATGGGATGATCGATCGCTTTCTTGTCGCAGGACAAACATCATCATCATCATCCATCGACTACATGACTTGGCATCGGTGACTTGGTCACATGGTGAGAAGGGGATGCAGATTATGACCGCGGGAAAGAGACTTCCGGGTCTGAGCAAGACCGATCTGACTTTCTGTGAGGATTACATCCTAGGCTAACAAAAAAGGGTGAGTATCAACAAGATCGAACCGACTTTAAAACTGCAGAAATTAGAGTTGGTGCACAGCAACGTATGGGGACCTGTGTAAGTCCTATCTGTTGGCAACTCTATTTACTTTGACACTTTTATTAATGATGCTACTAGAAAACTGTGGGTGTTTTTGTTAAAGCACAAGTCAGATGTTTTATCATCTTCAAGAAGTGGCTTGTCTGTGTGGATAACAAAACAAGCAATAATCTGAAGTGCCTAATATCTGATAATGGAGGCGAGTACTACAGCCAGGAGTTTGAGAACTTCTGCTCGTTGTAGGCGTCAAAAATTGCCTATAGGTCCCTGAATATGGCTCGAAACAGATAGAAGACGACGAACGTTGATATCTGAGTCTAAGAGGATTATCTGCACGCCGACGCCGCGCATGAAATGAAGTGGCGAACCGAGTGGGTCTGCGCGCTCGTCTCAAAATCAGCTCGCGCGCGGTCGGTCAACACGCGCGTGTCAATCAGTTCGTGCGTATCGATCAACACGCACACGTCAACCAACCGCTCGTCAAGCGCACATCAATCAGTTCGTACGCATCGATCAACACCGCGCACGTCAACCAACGGCGCGTCGATCAACTCGCGCGCATGCAATCAGTTCGTGCGTATAGATCAACACGCGCACGTCAAACCAACGGAGCGTTCGACGGTTAGTCCCGCCAATGAAACGTACAGTCAACAGACGATCAATTAGGTAAAACGGTGAAGAATACAAGTCCCGAAAAACCGAAAAACACCAAAAAGACTCAGTGAAAACGTTCAAAACCCTGCAGTACCGCGCGGGTCGGACCGCGCCGACCCGCGCCCACGCGGGTCGGCCAGGTCCGACCACAGCGACGTGGGTCGGACCAAGCCGACCCCCGCCGCCCGCGCGGGTCGGCCAAAAGTCCCGACCTGCCGCCCCCCGCGGGTTAGCGGTGTGTTTCGCGCAGATTTGACCCGAAAACGCGTTTTTGACGGTTCCGACGGGTTTTCACGAGATCTTTTCAGTTCCAGAGGTTCCTAACTGCCTAAATCTTATCTCTAAACATGGTTAATCAGTTATTAACTAAAGATAAGGAGAAATCATTCATTCTTATCTAAAAAACCCTCAACCGAAGCCTATAAATACAAGCCTAGGGCCTCCGTTCAGGGGGAGGGATTATTTATCAAGAGGAGGAGGTGCTGTCGGATTGAGGAGTCAAAGGAACACGAATTTCAGCGAGGGTTGACAGATCTTGGCGAGTTCTTCGACATAAAGAAGGAGAGTTCGAGAGATCCGACGCCCGTTTCCCCTATTTTCTTGAGATCAGGTTTGGTCTTGATTTCGAGAAGAGCTACTAATTTTGCTTAGTCGATCTCAGCGCTTCAAATCAAATACTTCCTCGGTGAAGGCGGAGCTTTGCCGAATTTTTAACAACCGGATCTGATCGACGGTCATCCACGGATAAACCCCGGCACAGGCAAAGATCCCACGCAAAGCAACGGGTGTTAAACGTCCTCTGCGTTTTGTTTGAACGAGAATTAGATCTTTTATTTTTATTGTGTGAAGGTCTTATAAAAAGACCGATCTTTTTGAACTTATTGTAACGATCGAAGTTGTAATGAGTTATACAATGAAGAAAACGACTTTCAACGCAAACAAGCTGGCGATCACATTGGGAGCCAACGGTCTCGCTGCCGAGGCTGTCGTGTCGCAACCGACGATTAAGGTCCCGGTTGAAGAGGTGATCGAATACGAGTTCGACCAACAGAAGTACGAAGAATACCTCTCGTCCTCCTCCTCCAG